TGTCCGCAAACCATTGAATGAATTTCTTTGAAGCATGACTGCAGATAACCAAACCCGTCTGGCCTCACCTTCTTCTAAGGCCACTGTATCGTGGCCTTCCAGTAAAGATATATTCCTGCATGAACAACTGGTCATGTCGTAATAATAACATTTGAAATCATATGTCCGCCATTTTTCCACATCACAATTTGAATTGCGAGTTTTGGTCTTATTACCTCACCAAAAATTCCAAAACACACATAAAGTGATCAGTGTATTAGTTCACATCTTCTGGATCGCTAACTTGGAATTTACAGCCAGTTACCAATGTCAGACGTTAACGACATTTTGTCCAGTTTTCGAACATCGCCATTTTTCTTGGAGCCATTTTGTTTTAATTTTAGACGAAATCCTCATGAAATCATGTCATATCTCATCAAAGAGCCGAGCAAGATCCGTTTTAATTAATGATTTATTTATCTGGCGATTTTTAAAATATTCAAGACACGGCGGCCAGCTTTTTTCAAATAGAGTTCACAGTATTCCCGATGAAATCCCCTCTAGCCAAGTATTGGCTAGAGACTCGAGTAAGTCTGGCCTAGTTATCTACTCCTGACGTGTACGACATTTCAGAATCGGTGAGTAGATAACTGGGCCAGACGAGTTTGGTAAGACTGCAGACACATGATGAGACTCATGCTGTGACTGGCAAAATGGACAATTTGAGATTTCAACACTTGAAATGTGGTAGTTGCTACCTTATATTACTTTCACTATTGTGTTTGGCTGAATATGACTAGGTAACCTAAGGCACTGGGGCAAAGAACAACATGAATTTTTGCTCCAAAGTAAAGTTTACCCCCCCCCCCCATCCATTGTACTACATTAGATCCAGAGATGAAAGAGTATTTCCAACAATAAAATCCTGATGAAAAGATAAGACAACATCTAAACATAATTTCCGTGAGTATGACAAGTTCCAAACTTATGCATTAATCCTAATATTACCTGAATACTGTAGAAAACTTCCAAGAGCTTTTTAAAATTCGCAAATCTCGTGCACTTGCAAATCTCGCGAGAGTTGTTGGCGGGTGTTTCGCGGACATTTTGCGGAGATATTCTAGCAGAATTTCCAGGTATTTGTCCTATTTTCTAACGATATAAAGCTTCATGTTTAATAGTTTATTGTAATTTACATAGTGCATTTATCAGGCTTAAACACGAATGATTCATATTGACATCATATGATTTGAAATCGAAAATAGATCGAATTCATGTTTATTTTGTCTGAAAAATTCCGGATTTTCAAAAGTTTTCACTGTTTTTTTGAGGAAATTAAAAAAATTAACATTCAAGGCCTTCAACGACAACTTTAAACTCTTGTCTTAAATAGACAGAGATACTTATCTGATTTGTTGATTGGTCTGTTACTGTATTTTATAAGTTTTCCAAATCAATTGACGCGTCATGACGCTGAGATCCTGTGAGATTATCCCGTACCTACCCCCATAAATGTGGGGTTATTTTGAGTTTTTTTTTTATATTTAGGACATATTTTGAGAAACAAATGTCCTAAATATCAAAAAACCTCAAAATAACCCCACATCTATGGGGGTACCCGTACCAGGACTATATAGTCCTGCATCGAACGCAATTGAAACGACCTCTGTCCCGTATAGATGATGTAACTATAATTGAATGGTAGCGTAACTAGGACCGGGTGTCGTTTTTATATAAATCTCACTGTAAATTTAGATATTTGTGTTGTGATACCTTCTGAGCCACTAACTGAAGTATTGTATGGTCTGACTTGTGCTGCCCCCTTTTAAAGGAGACTGAATTAAATGTTCATAAAACGCCAGTATGCAAAAATGTGACTGGCTATCGATGTTAAGATTAAAACAGTTGGTGCTGTAACTTTAATGTGGAATCATTGTTGATTATAAGATGAATTATCTGAATGTATTTATGAAGTTGAAATAATGTACTGTACTGGAAGGTCAAAGCAACCTGTCCTGAACTTGTCCTAAATGTAAACAACAACAGCAGATAGAACATGACCTGCTATGGAGGGATCAAATGGCCATTAAAATTAATTAACTTGAACTTAGCTGGGTAAGATGAAACCAAAGTTCATACACATGCCATAGAATTGGTCTCAAAAAATATGTTACTCTGACAAATAGAATATGTGGGCTTTTATGCTTTATATGGTTTGCATTTTTATAACTCAAAATTTACAACTGCATGCTTTAAAACATTACCTATTGGAATGATATAAAAATGCTACAAGTTGTTGCATAACCGTTAACAAGAAGTAGGCCTATGCATTAAATTTGGGGAATCTTGTAAAGTTGATGAATTTGAATATTATGAAAGGGTAATTTGGAAGAAATGGCTTTTGTTTTAACTGACAAATTTACTGTGAGCAAAGTGCCTGGAAATGTGAACAAAGGGTCAATACTGGAGAATGAATTAACTAGGTCACCCAAGGATCTGTACCTAACTCCTCTTGGTTATCACTCTATAGGTGGTTATAGCATTGAACATTGAATTTACACCCCATTTTGGGCTTTGAGATAAAATACATACACTATATCACAAGTGTAAGTTTAAATGGTAACCACTGGCTTATAGAATGACCACCTCAAATTAGCAACACATATCCCTGTAGATTCAACAGGATACCAGAATTAAATTTCTAATGTTTAATTATATCCAAATATTCCTACTTACAAAAGTGCTAACTGTCGCTGTATATAAAGCGACAAAAGTTCAACTAGTGAGATACACAAAAATATTTCAGTTAAATACTAATCCAAACTTTCTCCCAATCAATGATTGACATAAGTACCAACTAAAGTATCTCTTGATATAATATGACTAAAATATAATGGTTCTAAACTAATTGAATAATATGTATATATTGTTTCACACTTGCCATAGATCTACCTTAACAGTTTGTTATAAATTTCTCTATACCGTAATATTCTTGTTGAACTACCTATTGCACCAGGCCAAAACCAAACCGCAATCATACAAATCAAAATAAATCAAGGCACCAAAACCAGCTTCAAAAATACCAAGTGAGCAAAATATGTAACTTGTAATATGTAACCCAGTCGGAGAATAATGGCTCCAACTTAAGTAACACGAACTATAAAAATATCAAATATAGCATTAATTCATGAACAAACTCAGTCGGACTCGGAGAGTAATGGCTCCCACTTAAGTTACACGAACTATAGAATTATCAAATATAGCATTAATTCATGAACAAACTCAGTCGGAGAGTAATGGCTCCCACTTAAGTTACACGAACTATAGAAATGTCAAAGATTAGCTATAATTCAGCTTGATCGAAGAGATATGGCTTCGACTTAAGGTTGGCTCAAGAATATCTCCGTCGAAGGAATGTGGCTTCGACTAAGTGCTATCATGAGAACAACAAAACCAGAATATAGTTGAATGAATGGTGAAACTAAACTGTTTATGAAATTGAACTAAATCTACATTGTAGATTAAAATTATGAATTATTATTAGAATGATTTCACATCTGTGTCATCCAGAGCTGAGACCTGGGTTATTCACTGATCCACAATTGATATAGTCAAAATTGCTATCAAGAGAATCGCCCGGTAGTCGGAATTCAGATGCGAGATAATTCCAAGTAAATTACAAAATAAAAGTAGCCTAGGCTAATTCGATAAATTAGCACTTGTCAAAAATTGGTTACCGAAATGGTAGTCCTCACTTGCGTGATTTTAATATTTTACATTGTGCTCACCATGTAAACTTTGATGATCACTCGAACAACCAAACGATCCAAAGAAACTTGTGAAGACAACGAACTAGCAGAGAAATAGACGATAACCCTCAGCAGAACCTCCAGAATGACCCCGATGTTTCTTGTGTTTTCCAAATTATACCAAAACATAAATGACGTCACTCATTAATTTCCGTAATGTTTCCGTAAAAAGCCGAAGACCAGCGAATCCTCGAAAACGTGACCATGATCTGACCCGATGCAATATTATTACTTTACATTATTTATAAACACTTGGGGTAAGATAAAATAACGGAACAGAGGTCTAAAAATGTTGAAAAGTAAGAAAAATAAACGATGCGCTAAAAAACCAAACGCCGATGAAACTGCTACGTTAAAATTGCGAACGTTAGACCTCTGGTTCGTTACACAATCTTTGCCTGTACGATTACAGCTTGGGAGAATTATCTACGCCACTTACACTTAAGATACCTACTTCAATAGATTCTTTGGTATTTTAGCATTCTTTTTGTGTAGTTGAATCCACAATTGGCTGGGTTTATCGGCAGAACGAAGAAATTTTCGTTTTTAATCACAGTAATTGCGTGTAATATTTAACTTATTTCAACCATCAAATTCCTCCATTCATTCGTACTTCCGGGCCACATCCGGGCCAGTCAAACGGGGAATCCCCTTTTAAATCCAACCACCATCTTGAAAAGTGATGGAATCTCTCTCGATGAAAAAGAAAAATGTTCCCGCTCTGCCGAAATACCCAGACAATTGTGGATTCAACTACACAACCTTTACTCGTCATTTTACGATTTTGGCTGTAACTCAAAAAATAGTGGAGCGATTTTGTTCATATTTGGTATGTGAATACTATAAGCATTGCACACTGTCTAAAGACACCTTTGGTAGAAGGCGGCCATTTTGAAAAATGGCCGCCATTTTAAAAAATGGCCGCCATTTTAACGCATTTTACTATAACTCGAAAAGTAGTGGAGCGATTTTGTTCATATTTGGTATGTGAATACTATAAGCATGGCACACTGTCCTATGACACTTTTGGTAGAAGGCGGCCATTTTGAAAACAATTTTGAAAAATGGCCGCCATTTTAACGTATTTTACTATAACTCGAAAAGTAGTGGAGCGATTTTGTTCATATTTGGTATATGAATACTATAAGCATGGCACACTGTCTATTTCTAATGACGCTTTTGGTAGAAGGTAGAATGATGTTGGGAATGACAATTTACTGAAAGGCAATATACCATTTTTCGCACTATATTTTATGAAAATATTTGAAGTTAGGACTTGTCACAAACTTTTAACCATTGGGGCTCATGAGGACCAGAGTATTGTCAAACTTTTAAACAAGTGTTAAGATGTAATTAACTGATTAGTTTTTCACTTTCAGGTTGTGGTGCAATCAAAAATGGCACCATCTTCTGTCATCCTTGATGATACTCTGACTAATGAGGTTTCCCAGGCCATTTTCACAATATGTAAGAGACGGCTTGAGAATGTCAGTGATACAATGGAAATAGATGGCATTATCTACATCTCCCAGAGCACCAAGGAGAATTATGTCATTCAACTTCATAGTAAAGTGCAGCAAACAACGTCACCAAAAACGCCAGAGAAGGAACCTAAAAACAAAAATCCGAATGAGATTACTGGGTCTGAATTTGAACATGAAATAGACATTAATGACCCAAAGGAAGATATTTCAGTCGGAAAGAAAAGGAAACCAAAGCGATCACTCGTGAAGATACATCAAAAAGATGATGACAATTTTGAACCACCACAAATGATAAAGCGCCATCTTGAGGAAGAATCTGGAATCAGGCGTTCAAGTAGAAAGAGATTTAAACCAGAAAAATTCAAAAATGTTACTGGTAAGTGATGTACATTAAGATATGAATTTGTGTACTGTATAACATGTCTGACAGTAATAAGTAGTCTTTTGTCGTATTTGTCATTCACTTTATAATCAAACATTAGTTTAATCGATAAAATATGTTGGCTTGTATTTCTAATGTTTCTCATTTGCTTTTTGTATCATGAAAACAAAATATTTGTGTTAAATTCTTAATTATAATATAAACAAGTTTTTTTTATCACATTATTATTGAATAATATTTGTTATCACCTTTAGGGAATGTAGATGACCTTATACTGAGAGTTGAGACTGAAGAGGAGTGGGATGAAACCCATAATGCTCCACAAGAGATGAGAGAGGAAGTTGAGACCCACAGTTCCCCACAAGAAGCAATGGAGGAAGGTGAGACCCATAATCAAAAGGTTGGGGCAGGAGAAGAAGGAAATGAGACCCACAATCCTCAGGTAGAGGCTGTGAAGGGAGATGATACCCACAATGAAGGGGGACAAGGTGATATTGAATGGACTGAAAAAGGTACATGTACATCTAAAACTATGGTAACTACGTAACATATATTTATTTTTCAGGTCCTCACAATTCAATTTAATTTAATTCAATTTATTTCAATTTTTCAGATTATACATGGGCATAGCCAGGGGGGGTGATGGGTGCAATTCCCATCCCATCTAAACAAAAAAGCAAAAAGCAATTGTGTAAAATATGTTGAAATATTAAAAAAAGAGTGGTATCGATGTGGTGAACTTTTTGAACACATGTTTCTCTTAAACCGGTCATCAAAAAATTCTGAAAATTTTACACATCGTCAATTTAATGGTCATCTTTTGGATGGTAACATTATAATTATATATATATTATATACATACTTTTCTCTATATTGTTTTAGAAAACACGTCAGACACTTCTTTTGTTCTTGGTATCATATGTTCGGAATGAAATGAAACATCTTTCCTAACCTCATTAGAACAAAACGACATAAATACAACGTGTTTAGGTCTCTCAATATTGTAATTGTACAAAGGAAATTTTGGTTGATTTTAAAAAAGTATCTTGTTAATGAAATGAAAGGTTCATCTTCATTTTTATCTATTTTGGGGGTTTTGTTTTAATTTTTTGAATACTTTTTGCTAAATCAACCTAAATTTCCTTTGTACAACTTAAATATTGTACTATATGTTATTTTGTTCCAACAAGGTTCGGAAAGACATTTTATTTCATTCTGAAGAATTGGTAGAAAGGAAAAACCAATTGCACTAAAAAACAAAATATGTTAACAAAAACAGTTATATAAAATATATATAAATAATTTTCGCATGAAGCTGTTGTCAATCAGTCAACATTACATAAAGGACCGAGTTTTTTTACAGAATGTTTTCAATAATTGGTTTAAGAGAAAAACATTGTTGAATTCAATTCACCATATCGATACCTATCCTTTTAGTTTGAAATGTTTAAAATGCACCATTGTGTAAATTTTCAAAAATTTCCGGTGGTGAACTTCTGTACCCCTCTCTTTTTGGGGCTTGCTTTGCTCACATTGATGCCAAAAATGTGCATCCCCCTTGGCCTTGACATTTGCTGGCTACACCCATGTAATATAAAAAGCCTTGTTATATATGAGACAAGTTCAACATATTCATAAATAAGGTATAAACTAATACATGTTTGATTTATAGATGTCACTTGTAGTAAGTAAATACTGCACTTGTAGGCTATCTATATTAGTCAGCAGGATATTGAGTTCACAGAAATAAACTTAGGATTTTTAATGAAGTCTGATGTTATTTCTTAATATGATTATTACTAATTAATTCATTCAACTCAATGGCATTGGAATATATCAGTATTAATAAATAACATAATATCCATTTTGAACTGAACAAAATGGGATTTTAATACTGCCAACACACTCATTATTATCCCAACGAACGAAGAGGCTCTCTGCATACTTTAACGAAAAAAGAACAAAAAACAGTATGAGAAGTTCAGAGATCGGTGTTTATTTATTTTTGAATGAAAAGATGGCGTACTTGGTTGTTGGGTTGTCACTTTAACAATAAATGAATGACTAACGTGATATGAACATCGTTGCCATCTTTCATATTGCAAAAAAACTTGACATAAAAGTTTGACAGATCATAAATTTTTGGATAATTTTATGTAAGATCCAATTTGCCCTGTTTCAAATGAAAGTTTGAGTACTAATATCAATCCATTGGAAATATAAGGGGGTGAAAATTAAGTCTTCATTTTGCAAAAGAACGCTGAAAAGATATATTCATGTATTGAATCACTTAAACATAGCCAACACATATATTTCTATAATGTTTAAGTTCTTTTTATTAAGTCTATTATCTTCTTATACCAGTACAACAATAAATCACTGAATATTTTATTTTTCTTCAGAAAAAATAGAGAATGGAAAAGAAGAGAACCACAAGAAAGAACATGATCAGCTTAATGAACAGAGTGTTAAAGATAGTGTTGGAAATGAAGAGCAGATTAACGCTGAGGGGGAACCAGCTCAGGAAGACACTGGTAATCAACAGAAAGATAATACAGATACTGTTAAAGATGGTGAGGCGAATGAGCATGACTATGTAAAAGATAAAGGTGATGACCAATCTGAATCAGTTGATGTAAAAAATGCATTTAAAGATCCAGATGCTTTGAAAGCTGCCATTGAAATATTTAACATGACATCTAAACCAGAGAAAAAATCATGTAAACTTCCCAATGGTAAATTCATGTGTGATCACCCGACATGTGGAAAAACATACATAGACTTTGGGAGCATGTGTGTCCACAGAACCATCCATACTGATCACCGCTATGAATGTGAGCTTTGCCTAAAAAAGTACACTCGTAAGGACAGCCTAATGAAACATATTTGTGCGAAAGTAAAAGTGAAAAATATGGAACAGAAGCATGTATGCGCAGTATGTGAGGAGAACTTCTTAAACTTAAAATATTTGGAGATTCATATGAAGACCGAGCACCCGACAAAACTTCTGTTCAGGTGTAAGATTTGCCCGAATTCAGTTTTCCGTACCCAGTACAAGCTGAGTCAACATGATTTGATCGTACACGGGGAAAAGAGTTTTATATGCCCAGAGTGTGGCGCTTCATTCACCAACAAAGTGAAGCTGAGATATCACGAAAACTCTCATAAGCAGAAGAAACTCAAATCTCAAAATGAGACAGATCTAGAAGTTCTGAAAAAAGCATTTCACATTTGCAACGTCTGCTCTAAGAAATATGAATCATATGGTGGACTTCAAAAACATATGAGAATACATACTGGGAAATTATTCATGTGTGAGCTTTGCCCGAAGAGTTACATTTCCCAAGATTCCTTGAGCCAGCATATATATAACTCTCATGAGAAGCCCCAAACTAAGCCGCAGCCTTTAAACAAGGCCAATGGTCCACCCTTCATCTGCCCAGAGCCTGACTGTGCGATGTCATTCCAACTGATGTATAAATTTAGGCGACACTATCGGTGGCACAGTGGTGATCTCTGGACCTGTACATATTGTGGTGAGTCATAACTTCGCTTGTTCCCTAACTCTTCAATTCAATTTTTAGTTCTAAACTCCCAAATAGAAACTTAGAAGTCTTGGAATTTGAAATTTTATGTAACGTTACAAGGTGTTATTTTGAGTAATGAATAAAGAAGGCATTTCATTTGAGAAATATGATGATGCTTATGTTTCTTGCCTAATAACCTTTTGCCTGTGAAACACATATTTTCACAAATACACAAAAAGCACTTTTACATATATGACCTCAAATTTTATGCTGGCCATTGCCGTAGAACAGAATAAAATTTTCGGTCATATATTACACCATAAATCATAAAATTTTGGTCTTTATTCCTTAATTCTAATCTCAGTCTTTATTCCTTAATTCTAATCTCGGTCTTTATTCCTTAATTCTAATCTCGGTCTTTATTCCTTAATTCTAATCTCGGTCTTTATTCCTTAATTCTAATCTCGGTCTTTATTCCTTAATTCTAATCTTGGTCTTTATTCCTTAATTCTAATCTCGGTCTTTATTCCTTAATTCTAATCTCGGTTTTTATTCCTTAATTCTAATCTCGGTCTTTATTCTTAAATTCTAATCTCGGTTTTTGTAGATAAAGCATTTGATGAGAAACACCGCATGGATCAGCATATGGAGGCTGTTCACAGTAATGTGCTCAAGTATAAATGCAGCGATTGTGCACGTGGGTTCACTACAAAGTAAGTATTGAGTCTAATTATTGTTCATTACAATGTACTTCAAGTTTAATTTCTTCACTCCAAAGTAAGTACTGTGTTTAATCAATCCATTCAGTACAAAGTAAGAGTTTAATCATTCATTTAGTACAAAGTAAGAATTTAATCATTCATTTAGTACAAAGTAAGAGTTTAATCATTCATTCAGTACAAAGTAAGAATTTAATCATTCATTCAGTACAAAGTAAGTACTGAGTTTAATCATTTATTTAATACAAAGTAAGTACTGAAATAAATCATTTGTTCTCTACAAAGGAAGTGCTGATATAAATCATTCATTCAGTACAAAGTAAGTACTGTGTTTAATCATTCATTCGCTACAAAGTAATATACGTGTAATTCATGTCAAGTGGTATTTCTGGACCCCTCTAAGAATTTTGATACGAGTTTCTATAACGTTTGTTTATTTTTGATAAAAAACATTACAAATTGAAGAATTGTGTTATTGATATTATGACACAAATATGATTGTATGATTGATACAAGTCAGATGTAATTGTGCAAAATGTGACCTTAACACCACGCTGAATGACAAGTAATTAACGTTTTTGTGGTTCCTTTTTTGGCTCACCCTGTATAATTAATGTTCCAGAAGTGCCAGAGCAAAACATTATAAGCAGACCCATGGGGCAGGGGCTCTAAAACAGCAAGCCAACACGACCAATCATGATAGGATAATGCTTGAAGGAGCTTTGGATGGCATTAGCAAATCAGTGGAGCTACTAGATAAGGACCCTGGCACTAAAATGATCCTCATTGAGACAACTGATGGAGAATATATATCAATCCCCATGATTCAACCAGATGCTGATAATAATCAAATAGATCCTGCGGTTTATACCCATGGATCGGATATCATTGCGCAAAATGCTGAAATTGCGACTACAGCTGGGTCGGAGATATCTAATACAGATAGCCCAGGAATTCAGAGCCATGAATCTGAGAACATTACACATGGACTGCAAATATTGACTCATGGATCCGAAATAGCCAGTCAAGTGTCAGGAATGATATCAGATGGGACTGAAGTCATAGCACATCCAGAGGAAATCACATGCATTGCACAAGACACTGAAATGATAACTGAGAATTCAGAAGTTGTCCCCGAAGGATCGCAAATAATTATCAATGTTGAGGACTCGGAGCAGGTTTACAATTCCCAGAATGCAATTAATTATAATAATGTGAATTCGCAGGTTGCTGAGGATGGGGAATTTAAAATGCAGACAATGTTAATTTTGAAAGAAAACGAAACGGAACATTGTGTACAAGTTGAAGTCGATCCACAGAATTATTCTTAATTAGAGTACATGTACATTGTTTGAAATATGCATATATACAGTAAAACCTGTGTTATCTTAACAGTTTATGTACCTCAAAAAGTGTTCCACAAGTAGAGGTGTTTTACTTGACAGGTGCTTAAAAGAAATGCTAGGGTCATCCTGAAAACCACACTTCAAACTAAAAACATTTACCTACAACCATATACTATAATGCCCTATTTTGAAATATTCAGTTTGAAAATTCCTTTATATGGTCTTCTTTAAGAAATGTGTAAAAATGTGAAATATCTCAAAAACATGCTCCACAATTTCTAAGTGATTTGAACCTGAAGTAGAACATTAAAATTTGTAGATAGAGGTCACTATTGTAAATTTTTTTAGAACAATTGATGTGACTGATATATTGACTAAAATAATTCAATTTGTAATCTTTATACATGTATAACATTTCCATTGCCCATTTGATTTTCTTTTGAATTTTCTGTTTATTTAAAAATGATCTCATGCAGCTTTGTTAATTTATTTGTATGTGCTGCAAATAAATGTATGGGTTGTACTAATCTACAGTGTATGATGCTGTAAGAATACATGTATTTAAGGGTTAATGGGAAGTAATGTCCTTGATATCACTTGATTCTCTTGTAAGAACTCAATAAAGTGTTATCTTCCTAGATGTATTTTCATTTTCCTTCTCTATGATGAAATATTGTCAACTTCACATTTTTTTGCACTTACTGTTGTCTGGCATCTTGAAATGTGTAGGAAATATGAGTTCTTTTACTGACCATGATAAGGATGGGTTCAGCTGTATGCTCCCAGCCCATATAGGGTCAATTGCAAGAGATATTCTGTTGCAACCGTGGCCATGTTAAAAAAGTCTGGTGCAACCGTGGTACATTGTAATATATTTTCTGATACAACCGTGAGAATTACTTATTATTACTTATATAATCCCGGGTATTCTTTATCTATTTCTTGGGATCACATGGTATAAACCCGACTAGTGTTCAACCGAATATTGTCACATACAATACATACAAGCACGGTTGCGCCAGACTTTTTAAACATGGCCACGGTTGCTACAGAATATCTTGCAATTGACCCTACCTCTCCCAGCCTCAACGGTTGCAGGATGGATACAGCAATATTCATTCTGCTCCCTAGATACACTCTCCTGCACCTGCACTATATGTACTAAGAACCTTAGTAGGTATTTAATACTAGTGCATTGTACTCTAAACCGTGAAAATGAGCATTCAAGATATTTTTCTGGTAAATTATTGGACAAATAGGTTAATGCTAATTTTTGTTGGATGATTGAATTGAAGAATGCCAAATGTTATGTACAGGGTGTTTCGTAATGACTGTCTCGATCAACTCCAAATCCCACATGTAGATGGTATATTCCCATATGTTGTATTATATTAAATGAAAGTCTATCCAATTCTGGACTTTTTATAAAAAATCTGAATAAGCTCAACAGATTTTATCACTTGTTACGTATCTCCACTTAAAGTACCAATTTGACCTTCAGCATACAATTTAAGCACCAAATAAAAGTTATGTACAAACATTTCTGGATGCTGAGATAACAATGGTATTTGAACAAAAAGTTTGTTTAAGCTTGTAGTTAGAAGTTAGTCCTTGGTAGAGCAAATGCAACTATATATATTTTAACATCTCTCAAACTAACAACTCGCATGCTGCAACCAGCGTGACGTAAGACTGGACCGAAAATTGACATTTCGTCTAGAGGGCAATGTAAATTAGAGCTTTACGGCAAATTAGATATTCAATATCTCTCAAATAGAATGACTAATCAACAAGTGCTTTGTAGAGCAAATGTAGAAATATATCCTCAAAGTTCTAATTAGCAAATAACATGCTGCTACCAGCGCTACGTACGACTGGTCCGAAAATTGACATTTCGCCTAGAGCGCAAACTGTATCAGAGATGTAAGACAAATTATATATAAAATATTTCACGACCAGATACACCAGTGATTTAATCCCTTCTAGAAAAAACGTAGAAACATATACTGAAACGTCTTACAAATCAGCAAAGGACTAGCTAGTACCAGCGTGACGTAGGACTGATCAGAAAATTGACGTAACGATAAGAGCAAACTGTTAATCAGAGATTTGTGACAAATTAGATACTCAATATCTCACGAATAGAATGACCATACAACAAGTCTCTGGTAGAGCAAATGCAAAAACGTTGCTCAAATAAGCAAACATCATGCTCTTACCAAAGACCGGTCCGAAAATTGACATTTCGTCTAGAGCGCAAAGTAAATTAAAGCTTTGCGACAAATCCTACAAATTAGATACTCTATATCTCACGAATAAACTGACCAATAAACAATTCCTTGGTAGGGCAAATGTGAAAATGCATCCTTGAACATCTCACTAATCAGCAAATATTCTGCTTCCACCAGCTTTACGTACGACTGGTCCGAAAATTGACATTTCTTCTAGAGCGCAAACTGCATCAGAGATTGAAGACAAATTAGATATAAAATATATCACGGATGGGAACACCAGTCATTAAATCTTTTGAAGAGCAAACGTAGCAACATATACTGAAACGTCTCTCAAATCTGCAAAGGAAGAGATAGTACCAGCATAAAGGACGACTGGTCAGAAATCAAAGCTTTATGACAAATAAGATACTCAATATCTCACGAATAGAATGACCACTCAACCAGTCCTTGGTAGAGCAAATGCAAAAATATATAGTTTAACGTCTCTCCAACTAACAACCCACAAGCTGCTACCAGCGTTAAGTACGACATGTCAGAAAATTGACATTTCGTCTAGAGCGTAATGTAAATCAAAGCTTAGTGACAAATAAGATACTCAATATCTCACGAATAGAATGACCACTCAACAAGTCCTTGGACGAGCAAATGCAAAAATATATATTTTAACGCCTCTCCAACTTATACCCCACATGCTGCCGCCAGCGTGACGTAAGACTGGTCCGAAAATTGACATTTCGTCTAGATCGCAAGCTGTATCAGCGATTTAAGCCAAATTACATATAAAATATTTCACGACCAGAAACACCAGTCATTAAATCCTTCGTAGAGAAAACGTAGAAACATAAACTGAAACGTCTCACAAATCAGCTGAGGACTAGCTAGTGCCAGCGTGACGTACGACTGGTCAGAAAATTGGCATTTCGTCTAGAGCGAAATGTAAATCAGAGCTTTATGGCAAATAAGATACTCATAATCTCATGAATAGAATGACCATACAACAAGTCCTTGGTAGAGCAAATGAAAAAATTATATAATTACACGTTGCTCAAATAATCCTACCAGCGTGACGTAAGATCGGTCCGAAAATTGACATTTCGTCTAAAGCGCAATGTAAATAGGAGCTTTGCAACAAATCCTACAAATTAGATACTCTATATCTCATGAATAGAATGACCAATCAACAAGTTCTTGGTAGGGGGCAAATGTAAAATTGCATTTTCAAATATCTCACTAATTAGCAAATACCCTGCTGCCATCAGCGTTACGTACGACTGGTCCGAAAATTGGCATTTCTTCTATAGCGCAAACTGCATCAGAGATTGAAGACAAATTAGATATAAAATATATCACGAAGGGGAACATAATTCATTCAATCCATTGATAAGCTTACTTCATAAAAAATACTTAAACGTCTCTTAATAAAGATAAGGACTACCTAGTATCAGTGTGAAGTACGATTGGTCCGAAAATTGGTAGCGATTTCAGACAAATTAGATTTAAAATATTTCACGAACGGAAACACAAGTCATTCAATCTTTAGTAGAGCAAACGGGCAAACATATTCTGAAACGTCTCTTAAATCACCAAAGGACGAGCTAGTACCAGCGTAAAGTACGACTGGTCAGAAAATTGACATTTCGTCTAAATCGCAATGTTAATCAAAGCTTTATGACAAATAAGATACTCAATATCTCACGAATACAACGACCACTCTACAATTGCTTGGTAGAGCAAATGCAAACATATATACTTTAACGTCTCTCAAACTAACAAACTGAATGTTGCTACCAGCGTGGCGTAAAAGTGGTCCAAAAATTGACATTTTGTCTAGAGCACAATTTAAATCAGAGCTTTACGAAAAATTAAATATTCCATATCTCTCGAATAGAATGACTAATCAACAAGTCCTTGGTAGAGCAAATGTAAAAATGTATCCTCCAAAATCTCATTAATTAGCAAATAGCATGCTGCCACCAACGTAAATCAGAGCTTTCTTACAAATTAGATACTCATAATCTCACGAATAGAATGACCAGCTGTACATCGCACTGGTAGCAGCGACTAGTTTGATATATTGTGAGACGTTTATGTATATATTTTTACGTTTGCCAAAGGAGGGATGTATCGATTGACTTCTCTGTTAGGGGGATATTTAATATCAAATTCGCCTTAAATCGCTAATGCAATTTGCGCTCTTGACGAAATGTCCATTTTCCGACCAGTCGTACGTAAGGCTGGTGGCAGCATGATATTTGTTATTTAGAGAGATGTTACAAGATACATTTTTACATTTGCCCTGCCGAGGACTTGTTGATTAGTCATTCTATTCTTGAGATATCGAGTATCTAATTTGTCATACAAGTCTGATTTACTTTGTGCTATGTACGGAATGTCAATTTTAGGACCAGTTGTACATCGCACTGGTAGCAGCGACTAGTTTGATACATTGTGAGACGTTTATGTATATATTTTTACGTTTGCCAAAGGAGGGATGTATCGATTGACTTCTCCGTTAGGGGGATATATAATATCAAATTCGTCTTAAATCGCTTATGCAATTTGCGCTCTTGACGAAATATCAATTTTCCGACCAGTCGTACGTCACACTGGTACATGCCAGTCCTTTGCAATTTTGTGAGACGTTTAAGTATGTATTTTGGAGTATGCTCTTGAATGGATTTAATGAATTATGTTCCCGTTCGTGATATATTTTATATCTAATTCGTCTTAAATCTATGATGCAGTTTGTGCTCTGGAGGAAATGTCAATTTTCGGACCAGTCGTACGTAACGCTGGTGGCAGCATGATATTTGTTATTTAGTGAGATGTTTCAGGATACATTTTTACATTTGCCTTACAGAGGACTTGTTGATTGGTCATTCTATTCGTGAGATATTGAGTATCTAATTTGTCATACAAGTGTGATTTACTTTGGGCTATGTTCGGAATGTCAATTTTCGGACCAGCTGTACATCGCACTGGTAGCAGCGACTAGTTTGATATATTGTGAGACGTTTATGTATATATTTTTACGTTTGCCAAAGGAGGGATGTATCGATTGACTTCTCTGTTAGGGGGATATATAATATCGCTTATGCATTTAGCGCTCTTGACGAGGTGTCAATTTTCCGACCAGTCGTACGTCACACTGGTACATGTCAGTCCTCTGCAATTTTGTGAGACGTTTAAGTATGTATTTTGGAGTATGCTCTTGAATGGATTTAATGAATGATATTCCCGTTCGTGATATATTTTATATCTAATTCGTCTTAAATCTATGATGCAATTTGTGCTCTGGAGGAAATGTCAATTTTTGGACCAGTCGTACGTAACGCTGGTGACAGCATGATATTTGTTATTTAGTGAGATGTTT